CTCTCCCCCCCCCCCCCCCCCCCCCCCCCCCCCGAAAAGATCCTAGGGGCTGAAAAAGCCCCAGTCTGAAAGGACTAGAAAGCTTTGATTGACACAGGGAAGGGGGGAGGGAGAGTGGTTAGTGGACTATGTGTAACCAAGCAGCAGAGACTGCAGCCTGACGTGTGGTTTTAATGACCAACACACAGGTCAAAAGCATTTTGCACAGTGTTTGTTTTCCTGTCTTGCACTTACAAATAAGCCTAGGGGCTGAAAAAGCCCCAGTCTGAAAGGACTAGAAAGCTTTGATTGACACAGGGAAGGGGGGAGGGAGAGTGGTTAGTGGACTATGTGTAACCAAGCAGCAGAGACTGCAGCCTGACGTGTGGTTTTAATGACCAACACACAGGTCAAAAGCATTTTGCACAGTGTTTGTTTTCCTGTCTTGCACTTACAAATAAGGTCTATGGGAGTAGCATGGAAAACGTTTGCTTTTTTCCTCCTTTTTCTGCTTTTGTTTAAAATTTGATCGCCTTAACTACTGTAAACATAGCCTATTTTTGTGCTTAAGATACTGAATGGAAAACTCCATTGTGTATTGCTGGACTGTTTTGGAAATATTTGGTCAAATGTGTGTTAAGTTGGCTGTAATGGCATTTAAAACAAAACAAAAAAAAACTGTGAAAATGGCCTTGGAGCATTATCTTTAGTTACTTGAATAGTTTATAGGTTTTAAAAATACATTCTTTTATTAATTTAGAAAAGACAATCAGTGTCTGAGAAAAATGGACTTTCTCTTGGATTTTTTTTTTGTGGTCTTCGTGAGTGATTGATTATTTTCTTTTATTAGTTTCACATTCTTTTTTTGTTCTAAAACTTAGACTGACATCTAGCTTTGACAATCATAGTATGGTTTTATTTTCCTGAGGGGGGAATAACTTATAATGCTGTTTAGTTTTGTACTATTGGTGTGTTGGTGAATTTTTAAACTGTGTGCTAACTGCAATAAATTATATGAACTGAAAAATCAATTCCCTTGTCTTTTTTCCCCCCCTCTTTTAAATTATAACTATGGAGAATTTTTTATATTGTGTAACTTTATTACTTTTGTACAGACATCTATTGCTAACTGTATGGAAAATGTTTTCAGTATGCTTGTAAGCATTCTGTACACACACACACACACACACACACACACACACACACACACACACACACACACACACCTCACTTAACATTTGAAAAATTAAATGCCTGTGATTTGAAAGCATTCATCTGTCTGTAGCTCTCTATCATTCTGTAGAGGCGAAAATGTTTTCGTCACAGACCTGCATAGAAACATCCTATTAATTTCTTAGGGATTGCTAACATTTTATAATACTGTAAATCTCTAACAAAACAGAAGTGAGTGTTTTAAGTTTACCTTAAATAGATATCTTGGACTTCTTCAATATTCTGTTTCTAATAGAAAATTAGAGAAGAAAGGAGAAATTTAATTTGAAGCACCGCTTGACTATGGCATCATAGGCAATAGAATTATTAGGCATTTAAAATGTCCAGTATTCCAAAATATTGGCTGTACTCCAATCTACTCTGAGTTACTGAAAGAAAATAGTAATCATCCTTCATCTGCCCGGTCTGTCTATAAACTTCACTTACCTGTACCAACTAGATTGTTTTAAAAATGTCTAGGGATGCCTTGACCCAGACCTATCGATTCTTGTAACAGGGTAGTCCTGAACTGTATTTCTAAAGCTGTCCTATCCCGCTCTGAACAGAACTATGATTGTAAAGTCTAGTGGGAATAGGAGGGTAGAACCGAGGCGTCTGGAACAGGAAAAGAGGTGAGAATTTGAGAAAAATCTTGTGAAGTAAAGGAAAAGATTCATTAGCACCATCATCTAAACAGGTTTAGCTTCCATATAACCTTGATCAAGTGAGTTTCATCACCTAATATCGAGAAATATTTTGTAGATAAATACCTTAAAAGTACAACTTTCTTCATCAAGAGTAATTTATAATGAGTTATAAGGGTCTTTACATTATCACTTTCATTACCTCACTAAAGTGTCGAGCATTATTGTTCTTTGTGGTTTGTGTATTAATAAAGTGAAGTATTTCAAATGAATTCTTCATAAATTCTTAATGTTAATTTTAGAAATGCAAACAGCTGTTAAATGTAGACAAAGCCTGCTTAGCAGCAATTTCTTACTACGGTCATATCTTTCAATTATACAATCTTAATACTTGGTTAAATATAACAGAGTGGTGAAAGAGAAAGAAGGTTAATAGTATAGCTATTAGGTTTGAAGTCCACATAACTGATTAACATTAGATTTGGTTTTGGACAGGCTTGCCATGTGTTCCCAAGGGCCACAGGATTTTAAGAGCACAGGATTCACAAATCCACCAATACTTGATTTAGAGTCTTTAAAAGAGAGTTCTTGTCCAATAGGTAACTATTCATAACTTCACCCTAAAGATAAAAGCACTTGGTAAGAGTATTCCTCCAACTTCTTGGCCAGTTGGTGTGTGTAAACACAAAAGGTGTGCTTAATCATGACCACTGAATCGCTGCTTTTTGCAAAGATGAGGCAAGTACACTGATATTATCTTTCCATATATTTAAAGAAAGTAATATCTGAATATTTTTGTAACCATTTTTTACATGGTTTTTGGATGAATTTTAGATAGCTTTGATTGTCACTTACAGGAATCAAAATAGTTGCGCACTCATCTGCCTATTATGGTCTAATTTCTGTCTCTGTTTATTATGATAGATACAGAGTTCAATAGTCTTTTCTGAACAGAGATGGTCATTGGTATTGAAATGGGAATGCCTCTGATCTAAAGCCACACTAAGAGCGTATCACATAATTGCATTTTTAAACTAGTCCTACTGATGGTGAATTGATTCTTAATTTGACAGTATTAAAATTGTATTAAAAGGTTAGGTCTTCGATTATTACAATGCTAATGTTTAATATGTTTGATAAAATAACTTTTGAATATTTGTATATTAATCTTACAGGACTTATGTTAATGCAAAATTATTTTCACTCAAAACAAATTTACGAGATTCAAATGGCTCAGAATTTAAAACAAAATATAACTTGTCTTTCAGCAAAGCAAAGGAATATGAATTATTTACCCCACTCTCTAACGGGGTAGAGAGAACATCTAACTGGTATTTCACAGTCCTGCAGAATGCTGATGTAAGACAATGCATTTCTTCCAAATCTAAACTAACCTTTTATTTATTTGTAACACAAAATTATTTATTAGCAGCTTGTTGTTTTTTCCAGCAGCTGCACTTGTTAACCTGTTTGGGAAGCATGCTGAGGTTTTCTTTTCTTGGTAACTATCCTATCTGCTTTGCCTGTAAAGCTACTTGATAGCGAGACCTGATAAAAATACTTGGATTCAGATAATAATATTTAAAATTAAAACTAACCCCTTTTATCATAACCATGCAAGCACTGTTACTTTTTAAATGATTCCTCAAACCTAATTTTAAAACTAGCATTTCTGTGGTTAGTGCCGAAACCTACTTGCAATGCTTTTTGAAAACTACTTATCACGTATTTCACAAATATTTTTACAATGTTAATGTATAATATTAGACACATTTGAATTACATAGTAAAGAATTTGATTTTAAAAAATGCATTTAAATTTTGTTAATATTGAGAGAATATAAGTTGTAATTTTCTAAAATCATTGTAAGTACATTTCAAGCCTGTAAATGGTCTAAAAATATTGTTTAATATTTTTAAACTGTTCGCAGACTTCAAGTGTGTTTAAGAGTTTACCCTCTGAAATTCACTTAAACTGTAAAAATAATGTATTACATGATTGATGGAAAACTGATATAAAAATTTCTAGTGTAAATGTACTGTTCAAATTTGGGGACATTGCTAATTTTTGTGGTTTCATTTTTAGATTTTTTACTCGAATACTTGTGTACATATATTTTTGTTCCAACTATTTAGTGTGATGTAGTTTCAGTGAATAAATTATACCAATTATTTACTCACATGGTAGCTTTGACTTTTTTTATTTTTTAAAGGAACAAACACTTACTGGTTTTTTTTCTCTTAAAAAACAAACAAACAAACAAAAACCAACCCAAAACTAATATTCTACATTTCCTAAGAATGCCTTATCATTTAATTTTTGTAGCACTTCAATTTTTAATGTCATGTTCCCTGTTTAATTCAGTAATTTAAATATAGTTTATCTGATTATGCATAATAAAGTAGGGTGTTGTTTTTTTTCAGAATCCCATTTGTACACATTCCTCTGGGTAAAACTAAAGTGGTAATACATTGTCGCCAAATGAAAACAGTTATACAAAAATGCTGCATGTTCAAACTTTAGGGCTAGACATTCATTCTAGTGTGATTAAAATCTAGCTAAACCTTTTAGA